GGACCCTTCAGTCCGCAGGCTGACGCTCTATCCACTGAGCCAAACTGGTTAGGGCAAAATATAATAATCTTATCTATTTGGGGATAAGATTTCAGTATAAATTAGAATAAAGAGTTTCAAGATGCTACAGGGGCCCAAAATTTATTTGACCCTTTAAAAATTATTTGTTAGGGCAGCTGACATTTCCCCCTTGAAACTGTTACTTCTTCTGGGATGCGACAGGAATGCTTCTCTCCTGCATGTCCCTGTTATTCTTCTCCCTTCTTGATAAACACCACCCAGGAAGAGTGGATTTTCTTTGGCCTGGAGCCAGGTTGATGGAGAAATTCTTTGCCCCGGGCCCCCTCTATGGCCCATACGGCAGTTCTCTCCCCTTCACTGATTGGGCTCACCAACCCCAGTTCTCTCCCCTTCACTGATTGGGCTCACCAACCCCGTGGCGGTGCCCCTGAAGGGAAAGGCAAGATTATGGAACTCTGAAAGGAAAGGAGGGTTGGTGTGCCATCATTTCCTGATTCATACGGACAGTTTTTGCTCCAGGCACTGTGCTGGGCACATTGAAGGTGCTCTCCTACTCCTCACCAGGTCGGCTTTGAAGCGGTTCACTCAGGGTCACCGAGTAACCCAGAGCTTCCTGATACCTGAGCCAGGATCTCGCATTCCAGACTTTGGGGGATTAGTGCTCTCTGCCCATCTACAGACAGGAGCGCAAGGGTTGTCCAGCAAGAAATGTTCATCTCTAAAGATAAAAAAATAAATAAAAAACATTTTTAAAAGCAAAAGAAAAAAGAAAAAAATGTTCATATCTGCTTTCTGCTTTCATGTGAACCAGGCCTGGCAGGGGGCTTACTGTCCCATCCCAGTTTTATTTCAATCTCTACAAACTGGAGTCAGATATTTGGACATAGATAGAAGCCGGCTGCCCTCTCTGTATCAGCCGTACAGCTTTAGGAAACCTGGGCAGGCTGCTTCCTCTTTCTTTTCTGATTCCTGACAAGTTAGAAGACTCTGGGTGCCGGGGAGTCTTGTTGCTTTAAGCCTGAGCCTGGGTTTGGGAGGAGACTGGGAGGGCAGAGGAGGGTGCCCGCCTACCTGGAGGAACCTGCGTGAGGTGTGGCTGGAGCTGCTCGGGCTGTCAGGTGGGGAGGGGGGAGGCGGGCTGAAACTTGGAGCAGGAAGTGAACTCAGGGCCGCCCTCGGAGGAGACAGACTAGGCGAGTTCTGCTGCTGACTGGCCTGAGCTGCTGAGACATGGTGAGTGAGCTGGGAACTAGGAAGGGGGTGATTTAAAGACAAGCCAGAGGGGCCTGGGCATCAGGAAAGCTGAGAAGGTGGCAAGTTAGAGGGCTGGGCCAGCGCTGACAACTAACTGCAAATAGCTCTGAGCTGCCGAAGTCGGTGTTCCTGCCCCTTTACTCCCCTCCTCCCCGAGACCTCAGTGCCGGCTGGGCCTAGAGCAGGGCCTCGGTGGGAGTGAGGAATGCGAATTCCAGGCAAGGAGTTGCCTGAAGGGCCCTTCATCTCCTCCCCCAGTTCCCGCCACCCTCCCACCCCGCCCCAGCAGGTGATGTGACATTCCTGGGCAGCGCTGCTGTTTCCCAGTGTACATTCCAGCTCAGCTCCCCCCTCTGCCTTTCACTTTATCCTATTGAGAAACCCAAAGAATTTGTCTCTCTGAGTCCAAGGAGTTGGCCCCCTCTTTATAAACATAAGGAAGAACTAAGAGTTCGTAAAAGAACCAGAAGTTGGTTCTCTGAGATAATCTACTGTGGATCCACACCCTGCCCTGTTTTTGGAGATCCAGTGGGTCTGGGGAGGGAGGAGCTTAATAACGTTTTCTCTTCCTTGTTCAAAAACCTTATCGTGAAGCCTGGGGGTGAGGCATTAAGCAGGGAGGACTTGCCCTCCATTTCCCCCAGTGCCCAGGCTGCTGTTTTTACTTAATATCAACTTAACTGGTGATCGTTTGGTTCCTGTACAAGCATGCCAAACTCAAAGGCTAACAGGGGCCAAATAAACGAGGCATGTGGCCCGCCGGCCGCGAGTTTGACATGCTTGCACATGGCGCTAAATGGGGGATCGGGGAGAAGCAGAAGTTGTGGCCCAACGGCTTGCTGTCATGGGCCTTGTGAGGAACTTGGAGCCTGGCTGCTGGCGTTCTGGGTCACAGCAGTTGGGCTGCCCAGGAGGCGGGTGCCAGAACAGCTCTCCAGCTGCCCCCATGGAGAGAGGGAGGGTTGTGCCAGGTGAGGGTGTTCTACTGGCCAGCGCAGACATTTTTTATTGTTGTTGTTAATCCTCACCAGACGATATGTTTTTTTCCATTGATTTTTAGAGAGAATGGAAGGGAGGGGCAGAGACACAGAGAGAAACATCAATGTGAGAGATACGTCGATTGGTTGCCTCCCACACGCTCCCTGATGGGGCCAGGGGATTGAGCCTGCAACTAAGGTGCATGCCCTTTACTAGAATTGAACCTGGGACCCTTCAGTCCTTGGGCCGATGCTCTAACCCAGCCATGGGCTAACTACGGCCCGCGGGCCGGATCCGGCCCGTTTGAAATGAATAAAACTAAAAAAAAAAAAAAGACCGTACCCTTTTATGTAATGATGTTTACTTTGAATTTATATTAGTTCACACAAACACTCCATCCATGCTTTTGTTCCGGCCCTCCGGTCCAGTTTAAGAACCCATTGTGGCCCTCGAGTCAAAAAGTTTGCCCACCCCTGCTCTAACCACTGAACACTAGTTAGGGCCAGCACAGACGTTTCTAATGAGGACACTGTAGGATCTGGGAATTGGTAAATGGTGGGGTTTTGCATTTGCAATGCCAGCTCAGCTGTCTTCTCTGACCTTCTTTGAGGAGCAAGGGAGTAGTAGAGAGGGATTCAGTGGTGTGCTTCTTTTCATTGGCAGAGGCCCTGAGAACCTGAAAACATTCTGTTTGTAAACAATTCAAGCATGGCCAAAAGCTAAAGTCCACCTTAGACATTCCCCTCCTCTGGCCTCCATGCTACGTCTCAGTTCCTCTGCCACTTGGCTTAATTAACCCCTGCGTTGCTGCCTAGGAGGAGGCCAGTGGAGGTGAAGGAAATGACCGAGTGCGGAACCTGCAGAGTGAGGTGGAGGGAGTCAAGAATATTATGACCCAGAATGTGGAGCGGATCCTGGCCCGAGGAGAAAACCTGGACCATCTTCGCAACAAGACAGAGGATCTGGAAGCCACAGTGAGATGGGGAGCCCACTGGGGACAAGAGGAAGAGAGGGAGGGAGGATCTTTGGGAATTTGGGGGTTGGTGGTGTTGGGGGCAAAATGAACAGGAGGGAAGTCTGCCTCTTCACCTGTTTTGGGAATTGATGTTAGCCGAGTCCTCGCTTCTGATCCCGTTCTACTCCACCGATTGGCACGGGCCCAGGGAATAGGTCCAATGACCGGGGTTGGTGGGTGGGGGCTGACCCATGGAGGCGTTTTCTAAGAATCTAGGCACTCTTCGGCTTCTCTTCTGTGAAGTTGATTTTCCTTTTGAAAGCTGCCCTTGGCAGTCATTTGAACCTGACCTCCCCAGGGCAAAATATTGGCTTTGGAAATCCTCTTAAGGCCCTTTGGCCTTCTCCGGGAGTTATTAGGCAGGGGGTGAAAACTGCTAGAGTCTTGCTGAGTCAGCTTTAAAAAGAAGCTGGGAAGAGCGGTGACATTCTTTGATGGGTTCCTGTGTGAGCTGAAGGCTAGAATAACATCTCCCACACATCTGCTTGACCTCATTCTTCTCTGTCTCCAGCCAGGTGCTCAGGAAGGGAGTTCCTCTAAAGTTCAGCAAAGGCTGGAGCCTAAGTTCCTTGTCCAAGGGGACACACTGGCTGGGGCTTTCTGAGTCCTCTGTGTAATCTTGGGCACAGCTCTGTTGTCTCCTTGGGACTTAGTGCTTCTTTCCACAGCCTAACCTGGGGAGCATGAAACTTAGTTACTGCAACCCCAGTTTGGAGAGAAAGCACGTTCCCTCACTTCCAACCACCATATCCCCCTGGCCCCTCTCCTCCAACTTCAGCAGTCCCCAGGAGGCAAGGAATCATGGAACCTGACTGTTCTTCTTGGCCCCAGTATCTACCCTCCTAAGGGGTAGATTGCCCTGCCAGTGTCACACCCCTGGGTGTGAGCATGTGTGAAAGTCCCCACAATGTGCATGACAGTGCAGGGGTAAGAAGAGAAGGGGGTAGCAGGTGGCCAGGGCGAGTCCAAGATTTCTAAATTCAAACTTGGCCCACCAGAGGGTTATGAAGGTATGTTTGTCAAGGTAGGAGGACAGGACATTTTCTATTTAGCAGTCTGTTACTTCAGCTTATCACTTAAATATGTAGGTGTATGGCGTGGGGGCCTGTATTTGTACTATTGTTCCAGTGGGAGGAGGAACTGACTCACTCTACCTTACCCCCTACAGTCTGAGCACTTCAAGACGACATCGCAGAAGGTGGCTCGGAAGTTCTGGTGGAAGAACGTGAAGATGATTGTCCTCATCTGTGTGATTGTTTTTATCATCATCCTATTCATTGTGCTCTTTGCCTCTGGTGTCATTCCCTCTTAGGATGACACCGCCCTGCCCTCCTCTTCGAGACATCCCTCCATGGTGGGCGTCAAGAAGGGCCCTCTCTCCCGTCCTTCTCCACAGGGAATGCTGCTCAGCCCTCTGCCCCTCACTCTGAGGCCCTCTGCTACACTGTCTGCCCCAGGAAGTACCTTGATCCCCTGCAAGGAGAGAGCTGGACTGTGGCCACATTCCCCAGGTCCTCAGGGGAGAGCCCAGCATGAGGCTGGGACACTGATGGTGGCTGGTAGGCAATAAAGACCCTTCAGGATCCCTATGTTTGTGAGGTGCTTTCTCCTCTTGCATTCGGCCTTTGGCCCTTTTCTCCCTGAGCACGCCCTGGATTCTCCCGTTTGTGGCCTGAGTTGTTGGAGGGGTGGAGAGTGCATGTTTGGAGAAGAGAGTTGAAGCCTCCCTGTTTTTCTTTATTCCCCCTTCTTCCATTCATTGTCACAGGTCTCAAGAACAAAACTTTCCTGGGAGCCTTGGCACATGGAAATTTCAAAACCTTCACAGCGGTGTAGGGTGGTGGGCCAGACTGCTAAGTGTCCCTCTTGGGCCTTGCCATGTCGCTGGATTACTGTTCTGCTGGAAGCATTAACCGCGACATGAGGCCTCCCTGGGCCGAGCACCCAGGAACCTGGTTAGGGGCCATCTGCCTCTCCCATCATTGCCATTTCTGTTCTGTGGCCCTGTTGTAGTCTAGAGCAGGGTTGAGAGGAACTGGACTGCTTTTCCTTCTCTTGTGGTTTTGCAAATTCTATTTGTCTTTTGTCTGCTCTTGTCCTTCTGGGACTGATCAGGGACTCCGGGTCTCAGCTGACCTAAGGGGGTGAGCATCTCTCCCCCAGGTCCCGTGGCTGAGCACAGTCAGTATCACAGGACAGGGCCTATGGCCCTCCTTCCCCTCCATGTACAATGGGACTCTGTCTTTGAGCCTCCCTCCTCCCCACCAGGTTCCATCGTCATTGTCACTCTTTCCTCTTTCCAGTGCCCAGTCTGCCTTGGTTTGGGGGAAGAGTTCTTGCTCTCTGTCCCTATTGCCCTCATAGGCTTTCCAAAATGGAAGCTAACCTGTTTTGGGGAGGGAGGAGGAAAGCACAGAAGAGACTCATTGGTAATCTTTGCCACAACCATGTCCATCCTCTGTCTCCTCAGGCCCCTCCTAGTCTCCAGGGACAAGGAACTTGGCTGAAACCTCTTCCTTGGGACCCAGACTGTCCAGGATGAGGGTCAGGTCTGTGCTCACAGGGGCTCAACCCCAGGGAGGAAGCCCTCAACCCCTTCCTCAAGAGGGGCCACATTTAATATGTTGAGGGTGGCATGGGCTGGGTGAAAAGGTGGCTGTTGACTTCTTTGCAGCCATGAGGAGAGCGCACAGATGGGGAGATTCACCTTCAGGAGGGCGCTGGAGGGGCGGTAAGCCACCAGCCTCGCACAGCCTCTGGGGAGCAGGATCACATCAGGGCAGGGCTGCACTTGCCCTCCCAGGGAAATACAGAAAAGCTAGAGCTGCACCTTCTCCACGATGGTCTGTTTTCTTTTTCAATTGAGGCGAAATTCTCATAACGTACAACTGAGCATTTTAAAATGTGCAGTTCAGTGGCAGGTAGTGCATGCACAATGCTTCCTGTGAATAAACTTTCTTTAGTTTTGAAACTTTGGGCGCTGGCCAGGTAGCTCAGTTGTCCTCATATGCCAGGGTTGCCGGGGTTCGATCCCAGTCAGAGCAAATGAATGCAGAACCAACTAATGAATGCATAAACAAGTGGAACAACAAATCGATGTCTCTGTCTTTCAAATCAACCAATCAGTAAACATATTTTAAAAACTACAAAACTTTTTTTTGGGGGGGGGGTCTGTTTATGGTTATGGGTGAGACGCACGCACCACGGTGGTGAAGACCCTGAAGACACCTAGCACAGTGCCTGACAATGGTGCTCCTACAGTCCCCCCTAGAATGACTGCATCATGCCACCCCAGGTAAGCCCCGTCTACCTGATCTTGGAGGCAGTCCCAGAGATGCCTCCCAGAGCCGGCTCCAGGGCCGAGATGTGGCCAGCGTGCAGACCTGGTGCCCGGCTGCTCAAACTTAGCCCCAGTGCAGGAGGCTGGGGAGTCCTCCGAAGCTGGGTCCGCTGGCCCAGGAGGAGGCGCCCTATGGACCGGGTCGCCGCAGCCTTCTGCTTTCGGTTTAATTTGAACTTGGTCTCGGTTGTGGGGGAAGGCGCTCCCCCCCTCCGCCCCGCCCTGCCCCGCCCCTCTGCTTCCTCCCGAGCTCTGGCACAGGGGCCACTGTGGGCAGAGGAGCAAGAGCGAGCCCAGCAGCGGCAGCAGCGATGGTGAGGGGCCACGCGGGTAGGGTGGGCCGGGCGACGGGCAGAGGATGAGCAAAGCGGGTGTGACAGTTGTCCGAGGGTGGGGGCGTCCTCCGTGACTGCAGTCCCCGGGCGAGGCTACCGCTGCTGGGGCCGGGCTGGGTCAGCCCCTGCGCTGACCTTGAGCCAGGGAGTTTCGGAAAGTGTGGCCCGAGCCCCATCCCGGCTGCCCCGCGCGGAGTGAGCGGGACTTGCCTCCACTTTCTGAGCCAAGTGATTACACCAGCATCGGCTTCAGGGTCAGGCTGAGAGCCTGGTGGTGGCCACTTCCCGGCTCTGTGACCCGGGGCAAGTCACTTAACCTCCCCTCCCTGAGCCTCCTTTTCCGCCCCGGAGAAGTGGGTCAGCGATACCTGCCCTGCTGGATCGGTCCATGGGTCGGTCCGTGGGAGGTTAAAGGAGCTAGAATGGCAGAGACCTACCTGCCTGGCACTCCTCCTGAGAAGTGGTAGGTAATGTGATGACCGCCTCAGCCCTCCCTGGGGCCGTGAGGAGTCAAGCCCCGCAGGGGAAGTAGGCACCTGAGCAGATGGGGTGGCAGGTTTTTGGGGGTGAAAGAGGAAGGAAGTTGTTTAAAAGTTCCACTGAAGTTATCAGAGTGTGGCAGAGGCCTAACTCCCTTCTCACCCCTATCTGGGGACACATTCCTGAGTTGAGTCATCGCCACTCAGCCACCCTGGCTCCAGATTCTGGGCTCTGCCCTCACTTGCCATCTCCAAGGCAAAGGTGTCAGGAACAGGTGGTGGCAGTTGCTGTCCTCCCCTCCCCGTGGGAAGATGGGCCCAGCGGGAAGCAGGCTTGGTGCTTTAAGGTGCTGCTGTAGAGAAGCTGGCGGAGGTGGGATGGAAGGGCCGCTAGCGGTTGCCATGCCAGCATGGCCTCATCTCCGGGGAACTGGAGGCAGGAAGAGGAAGCTGGGCAGGAAGGTAGTGCTGAGCTGTAAGGCTGTGCCAGGAAACTGAGGGAGGCTCTGAGAATGGGACAGAGTCCAGAGCCCACTTCCCAGTGTGCAGGGCAAGGGATCACGCGGGGAGAGGGGTTAGCCTTTGGGGAGAAGAAAGAACTCCTGAAATGAAAGCTGAGGGCAGGGTAATTTATTTCGGGAAACTGGGAAACTCTGGGACTCTCACAGGTTCATTTGAGGCAAATGGTAGATCAGAGCTTGGGAAGAATAAACTGATCTTCCCCCTCCCCCCTTTCTCCTATCCCCATTCCTCTATTCTTTCGCTCTTGCCCCTTTCTCTGCCCACAGCTCGATCCCTTCCTTTTTCCCAGCCCCCTTCTCTACCTGGTCCTTCTTCCTTTCCCTTCCCTTCTCTAATCCATTCAATCAAATATTTCTTGTGTTTCCTTTGTGCTGGAAGGACATGATGATGGATATCAGGGGTGGAGCAGGAACAGTGATAGGAAAGATGGAAATTGAATGGATGATGACTTGAATTCATTCATCTTTTAGATGGTCTTCTCTCATGTACTGTCCAAAGCATGTGGGTTTGGCCTTCTTTATATGCATACAAGTTGAGTTGGCAGCATCCAAAGGCCTGGTGAGGCGTTAGCCAGTCAGCTGAAGCCTTTGGCCTCCCCTTGCCTGCATTCGGGTTAGCACAAGCATTCAGAATGTGGTCCTTGGAGTCTATGTTGGTTCAACTCTCAGGTCGTTTCCTCACTGGCTCTGTGACCTTGCCCAGGTGCTTTAACCCCTTGGAGCCTCAGTTTCTTATAAAACTGGGATAATAGTACTGTCCTCAATGGATTATTGTGAGGATTAAATGAGATCAAGTGAACTGACAGCTAGCGAGGTGCTTGGCTTAGAGTGGTGTCCATTGAATGGTGGCTGTTATTACTGTCAAGAGGTAAAACCTCAATAGCCTGTAGTGCCTGATGGGAATAAACTAGATGCAGGTTCTCAAAGGCCCATGTAAAGTTCTGTATTTAGGTTAGAAACAATTAAGGGCACATGTTTACCATAAAGAAGAGCTGGCTTGGATGGCAAAGATTTTATTGAGCCCCAGTATTGTGTAGTGCTTGGGATCTGACTATTAAAAAAAAAAAAAAAAAAGCTAGGGAGCCCTAACAGGTTTGGCTCAGTGGATAGAGCATCGGTCTGTGGACTGAGGGGTCCCAGGTTCGATTCCAGTCAAGGGCATGTACCTTGGTTGTGGGCACATCCCCAGGAGGGGGTGTGCAGGAGGCAGCTGATTGATGTTTCTCTCTCATCGATATTTGAAACTCTCTATCCCTCTCCCTTCCTCTCTGTAAAAAAAATCAATATATTAAAAAATAAAAAGCTAGGGAAAGTTGAGCTAAATCAGTAAGAATAGCTATTATTTATCGAGCATCTAGGGTGTGTCAGGTATTGTGCTAAGGACGCTATTTATAATATGTCACATGTCTTAGCTTACATCATGGTAGATATTATTATTGTCATCACTTTATAGATGAGGAAGTGGAAGGTCAGAAAGGTCATGTCCTTGGTCATGAGGAGAGATACGAGGGTGAGAGAGATTTTGAGAGCTTTGTTTTCAGAGGAACCAAAGGCAGTTGGCCCGGAAATATCTGATGGGACACTTGAGTGTCAAAAGAGGGATATTCTATACAGAGGATAACTGTCTGTCAATCACGTTTCCTGGAGAACTCCCACCCTCTGTCTGCCAACTATACTGCTGCTCCCTCTCCCCCTGCTCACAACCTCAAGTCCTTCAGGCCCCTGAAAGGACTTGGAAGTGCCTTCCCCCCTGCCCCCGCTCCCTACCCCCATCCTCTACATTCTCTGCCTCCCTCCCCCCACCACCCCCCTCGCCCCCAGTGGACATCTCACACACTTACTGATGGCACTTCTCTTCTCACCCTGTCTGGCTGGCCTCTCTGCTTTAAGTTCTCTCACTTCCAAACATGCCAGCCTACCACCAACAGATAGATTATCCTGAAGCACCTCTGCAGTGTCGCCCTTGGCTCAGAGACCTGTACCATCCCTCCCGCCAAGTGAGCGTCCTCTTCTTTTCTAAAATTTATTTTATTATTATTATTTTTATTGACTTGAGAGAGAGAGCGATTGATTTGCTGTCCCACTTACTTATGCGTTCATTTGGTTGATTCCTGTATGTGCCCAAACCTGCAACTTGGGCCTATCGGGACAACGCTCTAACCAACAGAGCTGCCCAGCCAGGGCCTGCGCATCCTCTTCTTGACTTTTCTCTGGCCCACCCTGCCCCTCCACCCTTACCCTTTGCCTAGCCCTCAAGAATGCCCCAGCTCCACCCCAGCCTTCCAGGGCTCACCCCACCCACTCTATGAAGGTTCTCAGGAATCACTGCTCTGTGGGCAGCTCTAATGCTCCCTATTTCCATCTCCCAGTGTAACTCTGCTCTTTTCTAATTGTGTCCTATATGGCTCTTTCCTCAGCCTTTAGGGATCTTGTTAAGAACAGGCACAATTCATTCAGAAAATATTTCCCAAATGGCTTCTGCGTGCCAGGCACTAGGCTGCATTCAATGTGGCAGCAGGCAGCTTGGCCTTGATCTCTGGTCGCTACCTCCTTCCACATCCTGTAGTTCTTTAGTTGAGTGGGGCCAAGGAGGGCCCGAGACTTGAGTCTGAGGCCTCTGTGTTCCTTGGAGCAAATGTGTTCCTTTAGGCCTGGAACCATCTGGGGTCCAGACAGGCCTGGTGCCTAGTGGGGGAAGGAGGCTGCAGATTGCAGTGGGAGGTACAGCCGGCTCTCCTAGAGAATGTGACCCAATGTCACCCCATGGAGGAGAAAAACAACAGCTGTAGTCTTCAGAGTAGAAAAAATAAATATCCAACGTCCCACCAACCTCTAGCAGTGATTCTCATTTTCAAATCTTTGTCCATTCCCAAGTTTTTGCCTCAGATGATTTGAATGTGAGGATGCCTTGTACTGTTTGAACGCGAGAGACTCCACATAATGGAACCTTGTTGAATAATCTAGTCATCATAATAGTGGTCATGATGTGGTAGAGATGAGTATGGTTTCCCTGTTCTCTTTGTTATTCCTCCTTGCTCCTCAGTACTGCTCCCCTGGCCGGTGAGCATACCCGTCTACCATGGTTTGCCTCTTGAAGCAAATATTTCTTTTCTAGCTCATGAGCAAATATTGACCTACTTTGGTTTACCCCTTGAAACTCCTGCTGGGCTAGATAAACACACGGGGGTAACAGCTCTTGAAAATAAGAGTTGCTTTTGGACAGGCTATAATGCAAATGACTCACTCACCGAGTCCTCGCAATGGCCAGCACTGTGCTGGTCTCCCGGGCCCTGATTCCAGGCAGACAAAAGAAGGGCACTGGGCCCTGCCCTCCCTCTGGGAGCTTGTGGCCCAGTTGGGGAGGTAGACTCATGAGCTGGGGCTGCCTGGAGGTTGTGTGCAAGGATCCTGAATGAAGATTCTTGCCTGAGTAGGAGGTGGCCCTCTGTAACCACCAGATACCTTCCCTTTCTGTGGTTTTAAGTGGAATTCAGTCAAGTGCCAAAGTGTCTACTGTAGACAATGGACAATATGGTATGGCAGGAAAGGGAGCTTGGCCCATGTTCTGTGGAGAGGAGATGAGAAGAGGGATGGGCTGTGGGGAACTAGAATGGGAGGAGGGAATTGCTGTGGTTTGTTAATCCTCTCATATTCATCTCCCTGATCTGTGTCTCAACCTGCTCCTGGACCTCCAGCTGTCCAACCGGGACCTCCTGTCCTGGGTCTCTCTCAGTTGCATGTGTCCAAAGCCTAGTTCTTTTCTTGTGTGTGACCCATGCTTTTTTCCCTCTCCCCTGTCCTCCCAACCTCCCCCAAATTGGACCCTGCACCTCCCTTCCCAGTCCTCTAAAATGAGCTGAGTACTTTCGTTGGGTAAGATCCAAGCCTGGTCAGAACTGGCCTGACCACTCAGAGGCCCAAGGAGGGAGAGCGGATCACAGTGTGTGTCTTTGTGTGTGCCTGTGGCTTAGGCAGAGGCTATGACATGTGATGGTCCAGAAGTACTTTTTTAGTGGATCTTTCTAGCTGGGCTCTAGCCAAGTAGCTTGGTTTCTTCTTCTTTGCTGGGGGAAGCCAGAGGGCCAGTGTGCCATCCTAGAACCATCGGCTAGAGGCCACCCTAGAGCAGGTGAGAAAAGTATCTGCTTTGTGGAAGGGTGGGGTTCTGGGAAGGTCCCATCCTGGGGCACCTTAGGGGAAGCTGGCTATCCTAGGACCTGCTTTGATGGGCAAGAGGAGGGGCCTGTGAGACCAAGGTGAGCCATACACACCCAGGAGGTTGGCCCTTTACTCCACACATATATCCTTACATGAAAGATGCTGTTTCCCCTGCCATACATCACACACACACACACACACACACACACACACACACACCCCACACACTGAGCAAGGAGACCTCTAGATTTCAGTACCAGGTGAGGGCCGGGTGGGGGCTTCATTCAGCCCTGACCTTGGGCTTTGTGTCCAGGCAGGGAAAGATTTGGAGCAGTGCCAGCGCCAGGCGGATGAGGTGACGGAAATCATGCTCAACAACTTTGACAAGGTCCTGGAGCGCGATGGGAAACTCTCGGAGCTGGAGCAGCGTTCCGACCAACTCCTGAACATGGTGTGAGGCCTGGGGAAACAGGGAGGCGGGAGGGAGAGGCTGGCAGGAGCCCTGATAGGGAGCTCATAGGCTGTGCTCAGTGCCTCCAGGCCCTTGGTGGGACCTGAGGGCCAGTGTGGGGCCTGTGGGTTTCTTGACGCCCCCTAGCCTAGATATGCAATGGGTAGTAGGCCTTGGTTTGAAGCTGTGGAGCTTCCTAAAGGTTGAAAATTGGCATGGTTAACTGGAGGTTAGCCCAAAGAGCTGCAAGTTAAGGCGACACCAGTGTCTGAGTCTAGGAGTCAGGCTGGGAGGGTTCCAGGGCAGGCTGTGGGGGAGAGGGAACATGCAGATGGGAAGGATGCAGGAGGAGACGACACCTTGCTGGGGCGGGATTGGGAGGAGCTGGCTTCAGGTCTCTAGGGAACCACTAACTCCTATCCTGTGTCTGGGGACATCTACAGAGCTCAGCTTTCAGCAAGACAACCAAGACCCTGGCCCAGAAGAAGCGCTGGGAGAACATCCGTTGGCGTATCTACTTGGGGCTGGTGGTGGGCGGTGGCCTGCTCATCATCCTGATTGTGTTGCTGGTCATCTTTCTCCCACAGAGAAGTGAGGGCAGCAGTGGCCCACAGGCCCAGGACTCAGGTGCTGCCTCGGGGCCTGGGGACTGACCCAGTTGGGCCTGGAGGAGAGGCCGAATGGCCACACTGGCTGATTCTGGTCTCCAAAGAACTTTGGCATTTGCTCCTATCTGAGCCACCCCAGTGAGCGCCTGAGGGCAGCCCCAAAGTGTGCACCTCTGCATCTCCTGTCACGCCACTGGCTGGCCCTTGAGGGCAGCCTGCTGCACTGGCCATGCTAGGCAAGCCCCCGTTGGAGCTCAGTAAACACTGCTGCTTGGTTAAAAAGTGCTGTTTGGTTAACAGCTGGTGTGTGTGTATGTGTGTTTGTCTTTGAAGGTCTCCAGGTTGTTCATTCTGCTCTGCTTCCACCCCTTGGGCTGCTTAGAAAGGCTACCACCCCAATGACTCCCTCCTTGGGAAGTGGCCCCTTCCTCTCACTTCCCTACTTGGTCCAACCCTACACAGACATATCCTCCTGGAGTGCAGGTGTAAAGGCACAACAGCCCCCAAACCAGACCCTTCAACTGGTGTCCTCTGAGCCTGTTTCCCTGAGAACGAAATCTGTTATGATTCTGATGTCTTGGGGATGCTCAGAGGACCAATGGGACTCCAGATGGGATGCCAAAGAGGGAAACACTTCAGAGATTTTTATATCACAAAGTGAGAGGCTAGACTTGTTGCCCTCTGAACACTTCCCCCTTCCTAATTTCTCCGCCCATGGTTTCCCTCAAGCTTTGCATCAGGTCACAGATGAGGCAGGTGGCAGTGAAAACGGGAAGGGTGTCTGTGGTGTTGTGATGCAGTCACAAAGGATGACCTGGAGTTTGCCCTGTAGGAGAGAATTTGGGCTTTTTAAAGCTCCAGGGCTACACGGGGCCAAGTAGGCAGTGCCTTCAGGGCCACAGGAAAGATCATTGGGTAAAGGCCATGGAAGAAGGAAGGAAGGCCCTGCCAAGACCAGAGTAACCCAAGCTGGGGCGGCCTTAACTGCATTTCAAACTCAAGTGTGGGAAGGAAGGGGAGTTCAGGGTCAAGTGCGTAACAGAAGCAGTTCCTAGTTAAGTAGAGAGAGGGCTACTGGAAGAGAAATAAGAACAAACCTGAGAGTTGTGTGGACCCCTCACCAGAACTCATTACTTCTGAGGTAGGACAGTAAGCTGGGAAAGTTCCTTGGCAAGTGCAATGGGGAAATTGAGACAGAGCTGAACAAGCTGGCCAAGCATTTCCCGGCAAGTTACAGAAGGTCACTAGAGCAGAAAGTCCCGGGTGCCTAGCAATGAGCAAAATTGCTGCCAGACCTCAAAACCAGGGTGGCTTTTCCTCCTCTGGCATATCAATGGCCGATATCTGTGCAGTTTAGACCTCCCTGACTTTTCCTCCTAGAGCAGTGGTTCTCAACCTTGGCTGCACATTAGAATCACCTGGGAATCTTTTTAAAATCCTGATTTCTGGGCCTCATCCTCCGGAAATTCTGTTTCTTTGTTACTAATGTTGTGGCCCCACCCCATAACAAAGAAACAGAATTTCCGGAGGATGAGGCCCAGAAATCAGGATTTTAAAAAGATTCCCAGGTGATTCTAATGTGCAGCCAAGGTTGAGAACCACTGTCCTAGAGGTAACACCTAGGCCTCAGCTGTATTTCAGTTCCAGGCTTAGGAAAAACAGCAAAACCAGATGGGTGACACCAGGACCAGCTTCCATTACTAATGATCCTCTGCCCTGGCGCCGATCAATCAGTGGACACCACAACCCTGAAAGGATACACCTGGAAAAGCTGAGGAATATTCTATTGAGATCCTTCCCTAAGACTTCCCCCACACTTCCAGCCTTTAAAACCCTCAAAACTTAAGACCCCAGTGCACACTCTCCCTTCCAGGAATATGTCTGGGCCTCTCCTTCCCCCTCTTCTTTCCCCCGAGGCATGCATCTCCTACACTCTAAGGAATCCCGTGAGAATTGTAACCAGGGGAGCATCGGGCAGGGGCAGCTCGTCCAAGGCTAACGCCCTGCCCTGAACCTCTCCCCAAGGCCCCCTTTTCTCTGACTCCAGTGAGCTGACAGCAGCCTCACGTTGGCTCACTTCTTTCTAGAGAGCAGAAGCAGCCGGCTGAGGCTCTCTCCTATGGCTTCTTCCATCCTAAGCCCTTCCTTGTTTCACTTCCCCCAGCTTTAATAAACATCTCCTCAAAAGCACCTGGACTTGTGTTGTGAAATCTTGCCTACACGGAGTCAAGAACCTACACGCTACAGCCCGTCCACCAGACCAGCTCGGGCCAGGTACCTGTCTGGTAACACTCCCCGTGAGCTCATTACCATCTTGCTTGCCCTGGGGAAGATGGAGGAGAGCACTTGGCCTTCACTTAGAGGCCACGTGAACTTGGGCAAGTCACTTCCTTGGCTTGGGTTTTATGTGTGTAAAAAGGGATAATGATATTTATCTCCCATATCCATCAATGTAAGGGTTCCAGGTGGCAAATAAATGGTAACTTGTCAATCAAATCATTTAGTGCTGTGGTCCTCAACCCTGCCTCACGTTAGAATCACTTGTGGAACTTATAAAAATACCACACCCAGGCCTAGATCAGTTAAATCAGAATCTTTGAGGGTTAAGTCTAAAAAAAAAAAATTTTTCCCCCCCCTGAAGCTGCAACTCCTCTCCAGGAGACTAATGGGTATTCAGGGATACAATCTATTAAATCTGATCAAATAATCAAATCCTTATCACCTCCCTTGGGAAACTGACCTTTAGATCATTTCCCAACCGACATTCCCTTTTGCTTAGACCACGTCCCGTTTGCTGAGATCAGCAACTTTCTCCTCTGGACTTGCCCAGGATTCGCAATTCCCTGCTGAAAAAGCCCGCCTAGAGTCTGACTTCTCCTCTCTGGGTGCTGGCACCATTTGGGCGCTCAGTCCATCTGGTTTTCTAATGACCCAATACATTTATAATTCTTCACCACTTTCGGCCTCCTGAGTACCTCCTTCGGGGACCTTAATACAAACTACTTATTTTATTCAAGCCACTAATTCGACAGGAGCAAGGGGAGAAGTTGAGCAATGGGCTGAAGGTCACGCTGATAACCAGGAGCAGGTAAGGCCACAGGTTCCCCATCAGGGATACTCCCTTTCTTGGTTGGAAATGAGCACAAAGGTGTGTTTTTTGTTGTTGTTGTTGTTTGTTTTGTTTGAGGGGGGTAGATAGGGGAGGATTCAAGAGCCAACTCCTGAACCAACTAGAGCTCAGGGGGTGCATTAGTGCCCGGTGGGCCCGGGGCAGGGCAGCGGGAAGCGCCGACTCCTTCTCCCCCTGGACTGTGAAGACTGCGCCCCGGGACCTTCAGCATCTGCATCGCCGAGACCCTCTGAGCCGCGGAGCCGACCGAGGACACCCTGCCTCCCAGGCACCCACCCGGCTTCTCACGGGCGCCCAAACGTCACTCTCCGTACCTGTCTAACCTGGGCTCGGATCCCAAAATGTTTTCTGATCCGCCCCGGCCCCTGCCATTGGCTTTAGCCTTTGGTCACCTGACTCACTCGAGCCAATGAGAGGCGAGAGAGCTAATACTTCCGCTTTCCGTGCGGGTGAGGACCGGCGGTGTCCGCCTTTCGCGTGCTGTGATTGGCCACCTTCTCTCGCCTCGCTAGCTTATTGGCCGGAGCCGCGAAGCCGCAGTCCGCGGGGTCGGAGGGCTGCTGTGTCAGAGATGGCGTCCTACTTCGACGAACACGACTGCGAGCCATCGGCCCCCGAGCGGGAGGCCCGAACCAACATCCTGCTGGAGATCGCGAGGTGGGTGCGCGGGGCGGGCGGCGGGGCCGGGCGCGGGTGTCCGGGCCGGGGCTGGCTGGAGAAGGCGGGGGACCTGAGCGGCAGAGTCGGGGGAGGGCGGAGGAGTGAGTCCGGAGGCTCGACTCGAGGGGAAGTCGGTGCTTGGGATGGGCCCTGGGCCTTCCGGTAGGGGGTTTCGGGAAGACGAGCTGGTGGACTCGGGGAAGTCTGGCGGGAGGGAGCGGGGCGGGAGGTGGAGAGGGCGCCGCGGGGGCGTGGCAGGGCGAGGACCTGGCTTAGCAGCGACCAGCTCGCCGCGCTGCCGCTGAAGTCTGGCTTCCCAGGTCATTCCTGCGGGGCCCGAGCAGCCTCTCGGCTCCCGTTGCCTCCTACGTGCCGTGGGAGTAAGCAGCCTGCGTGGTTGGGGCTGTGACAGCAGCTGTCAATCACTTCTCGCTCTGCCCTTAACGGGGTGGGCAAACTTTTTGACTGGAGGGCCACAATGGGTTCTTAACCTGGACCGGAGGGCCGGAACAAAAGCATGGATGGAGTGTTTGTGTGAACTAATATAAATTCAAAGTAAACATCATTACATAAAAGGGTACGGTCTTTTTTTTCAATAGTTTTATTCATTTCAAACCCCGCGGGCCGTAGTTTGCCCACGGCTGCACGGTAACCTGTTGGGCACTGCGGACGGGGGTGGCTGTTCCCGGCTGGAGAGGGTCTTGCTTGACCGGTGGACGCCCGGGCGAGGTGCGGAGGCGAAGAGAAAGGGTGGTTTTCTGACCTCGCGTCCTTCGGCTCAGGTCGCTTTTCATCAGTGTGGACTTTGAAGACTTGGGGTTGGGAGTAGATTGGGATCACCACCTGCCTCCACCTGCTGCCAAGACTGCGGTTGAGAGCCTCCCCAGGACAGTCATGAGGGGCTGTCGGTCTGGTGAGAACACTGATTCTTTCTGCTCTTTGAGGCAGGTCTGCCAGACCTCACCCCCCATTGCCCCCCCAACCCCCAAGCCAGACTGTGGATTGGCCCCTCGGTTTTCCAGGCCAGGTTGGGGCAGGTGACCTGTAGGAGTGGGAGCCGGGAGGTGGGGCTGGGGCAGCTCTCCTGATGAGCACTCCCTCCTAAAGAGCTCAAGTGCCCCGTGTGCCTTTTGGAATTCGAGGAGGAGGAGACTGCCATTGAGATGCCTTGCCATCACTTCTTCCATTCCGACTGCATTCTGCCCTGGCTAAGCAAGGTACTGCTCACCCTGCCCAGTTCTCCAGCCCCTTTATTTTTATGAACTGTTGGGGGAATCAGAGAAGGAAGAGGGGTCAGGGTGAGAATTGGGAGCAGGGGATGGAGATTAGCTTATAACAGCGGATCTCAACCTGTGGGTCGCAACCCCGTTGGCAGTCGAACGACCCTTTCACAGGGGCCGCCTAAGACCATCCTGCATATCAGATATTTACATTACGATTCATAACAGCAACATTACAGTCATGAAGTAGCAACGAAAATAATTTTATGGTTGGGTCACAACATGAGGAACTGTATTTAAAGGGCCAGAAGGTTGAGGACCACTGGCTTATAAAGACCAGACCTGGGCTAGAACACTGCTGTTTTTTCCCCAGACAAATTCCTGCCCCCTCTGCCGACATGAACTGCCCACCGATGATGATACTTATGAAGAACACAAACGGGATAAGGTAGGAGCTGGTGGTAAGTGGAGGGGGTGGCTCCCTCTGGCTGTCCTCCATGCTCTCATCTCCTAACTCGGCAAAGCTGGGTAGGCCGTGGCTGCGTTCCCAGTAACGTTGGTGCAGAGCCCCAGATGCCCGGGGCCTGCACAGTGTGAGCCAGTCCCAGGAGAGCTGGCCCATCTGTTTGCCCACCGGCCTTCAGATGCGGCCCCTGCCTCTCCTTCAGGCTCGCAAGGAGCAGGAGAAACACCGACTGGAGAACCTGCATGGAGCCATGTACACATGAGGCAGCTGGGGCCACGCACTGGCCCTGCACAAAGTCTTCCTCTTCGACCTCAAATCCTCATTAAAGATTTCTTTACCCACCGTGTGGCTGCATTGCTTAGGGCCCGACTGCTGCTGGGGAAGGGGGCCTGGGCTGCAGAAGGCACCAGGCTAAAAGCCTGCTGGCCTGAGGGCAGTGGAGCCCAGGCCAAGAACCTGGCCACTGGGTCTATGTGTTCGTGGCTGGAAAGCAGAATATGTCACCATCTGGCACCCAGTAGATATTTAAAGATGCGCTCCTTTCCCCCTGTAATTTTTAGTCGACCTTGAAATTCCAGGCGCTTTCTTTTGGTCCCTAACATTTTAAAGCCGTTCTTTACATGCTCCCCATCCCCATCCCCTAAGGAATTAAATTTCAAACCAGACTCTGAGTGGGGGAAGGAAGTAGGAAATGATCAGGTCGGTCAGTTCTTTAGCACAAAAAGGGCTTCAAGCCCTCAAGGGATGTTGGGCTAGTACCTGGCATCCTTTGTTGGAGTCAGCCCTGCTCTTAGAGCACTGGGCACTCAGGACTCTGCAGGGGCATTCTTTGCCGAGGGAAAGCTGTCCTGAACCAGGCCCTCTGACTCTCCAGAACAGACTACAAACATGCAAATTAGAATTCTTTTAATAGATATATAAAAAAAAGTACTAAAATACCCACATGGTTCTCCTGTGTACTTGCCCTAAAGAATATAAGGGGCAGAGTGAAGAATCCCAGTGCAGTCCAGTGGGCCCAAAAGTGGGCCTTCCCACAGACTAAGGTGTGCTCACCCTCCCCTGGCCCCCCCCCCCCCCCCATCACTATCCCTCTTGCTGTTCCCAGCCCCCAGTTCCTGCAGCAGGAAACCCCAGTGGTCTGGCCTCGGCACTGGGTATAAAGGCACCTGAAGGGGTGGCTGGGTGACTGAGGATGTGTGACCTTTAAACATAAAGACAATACTAGAGTGGGGAGCGGGTCATGCGCAGCTCAGGCAGCTGCCAGGGCCCGCTCCTGTATGGCACAGGTGGATGTGGGATGGCCACTCCTCCAGGAGTGAGGAAGCCTATATCCCAACAGAATACTTTCTCAAAATTGTTTTTGGTATAAAATGAATGCAGAGAAGACATGGGGTGGGGAGTAGTGGAGGCTGGGCCAGCCACCCTCCCCAGCCCTCAGATCATGGCGATGCTCTCAGGGGCACAGTTGAGGTGAGTGGAGGTGCTACTGCTCCCGGAGGACTTGCAGGCCCGGCCAGCAGGCTGCAGCGCAGCCACCAGTGTCTCTGAGGAGACTGCCCCAAACTCATAGCAGAAGGTGCCGTAGAAAATGAGGATGTCGATGACAAACACCCACTCGCACAGGGCTGCTCCGTGCTGCAGCTGAGAGCTCTCGTGGATGAAGAAGACGCCGCCTGGAATGGGGCTAAGGAAATGTTCAGTAGGACCCGTGGGGACTGGAGACATACCTGCCTTCCTGGATATATAACTAGGTGGGGGCAAAGGGCGGGGCCTGAACTCCCAGGAGAGGGAGCAGAGACCACCCTGGATGGTGGTATCTGGAAGGTGTGCTGGTCTCCCTCACCTTGGGTGAGAGAAGGGCTGGGCTAGAGGGTTTCCTGGCTGCCCTGTCCTGGAAGGATACTGAGGACCAGGACGACAAAGGCGATGGCGGCCAGCACGATCCGTAGGTAGGCCATAGCCAGGTCCTGGGGGGCGGTGGCTCCATGGTAGGAGAGGACACAGTGCAGGCAGACAAACAGCAGCCCGGCAGGGAAGGCCACACCAGCTCCGATGTAATGTAGAGACTTGGCATGATCCACCTGGGCCCAGAGTGAGGTGCTGGTCAGTGAAGCAGCCCTGCTCCTCCACCCCTTCACCTCTTCTCTGTCCCTCTTCTTCCCTCTTTCCCTCCCAGGCCCTCCTCCCCAACCCCCAACCTGGAGGGGCTGCCCCTGCAGCTTGGGTCAACCCTCAGGAGACGGGACCCCCCCCCAGACAGCCATGCCCTTTTAGGGGACGTTCAAGAGGTGTGTGGGGGGGTATACCTGAAAGTTTCCAACCACCACGAGGCCTGCAGCGTTGGTGCAGCCTGTGATGAGTGTTGTGGTGTTAATCCAGGAATGCCGACTCTGCTCCAGGAGCTGCCCGTAGAGCAGGAGGCAGAGCAGGGCCACTGGGGAAGAGCGTGGGTGGAGCCAGCATTAGCGCCCTTCTCTGGCCCAGCCCGTCCAGGAGCCCGCTAGCTCTCACCCCTCCAGACACTGAGGGCCAGAAGGGAATAGATGGGCAGGTGGTGAAATGGGTTTCCTCAGGCTCCAGCCAGCAGGGTGGCTGTGTGGGAGTCAGCCTGTAGTCTTTAAGGAGCAGGGAGAAAAGAGGTCCCTTTTGCTTTAGCCCTTGGTTGGGTGGGCTGCGTTGAGAGCAAGAGATTTCTGGGGGGAAGGGTGTATGGGGTGGGCTGGACTGGGCTGGCTGGGGGCTAAGGGCACAACTCACCCATGAAAGCACCCACGTTGCCAATGAGGCTGAAGAGGCAACTCTCTGGGGGATATGTGCCGCACTTGCTGAGGGGAGGGGGCAAGGACAAAGTGAGAGGGGCAGGAGCACCAGAGGGCCCCCATTCTGGCCCACTTGCCTTCTCTTGCTTCATCTGTGCCCAATTTAAGCCACCGAGAAGGACCAGTGTCTTTCACAAACAAATGGTCCTTATTGGTACCCCCTCCCCTACAAAAAAAAGCAGAGCTCATGTGTGTGACAAGTTAGGGAGTACCCAGAATTGCTTAGCAAACCCCAAGACTCCTTGGACTCCCTGAGACTGTCAAGGCCTGTAGCTGGTTTGGCTTTCTTTGAGCCAGAACGTGGGCCAGGCAATCAGAGGGCTTGAGCTTAAACCCAGGTATCTCGCCTGGCTGGTGTGGTTCAGTGGTTGAGTGTCGACCTATGAGCCAGGAGGTCGAGGTTCAATTCCAGTTGGAGCATATGCCCAGTTGTGGGCTCAATCCCCAGTGTGGGGTGTGCAGGAGGCAGCCAATGATTCTCATCATTGATGTTTCTATCCTTTCCTCTCTGAATTCAATAAAAATACATAAAAAATTTAAAATATCCAGGCAGCTCCACTAACTAGCTGTGTGACCTGAATGGACGACATACTCAGTTTCAGTTTTATTTCCCATAAAATAGAACAATAGCTGCCCCAATGCTGGGAGGATCAGACGTCATGCATGTAACATGTTCCGCACAGTGCCTGACACATAGTCATTGGAAAGCAGTACTGTTACTAAGGGCTCTTAATATAATTATTATTCCTGTGAACCCCTTTGGGACCGGCCTTTGCTTGAGGCGCTTGGCGGGGAGTTTATCAGGGCCTTGGGTCTCGCTGATCTGCCCAGTGTCCAGGCCTTACCTGATGAGGGGGACATCGTCCAGGGTGCAGCAGCTTTTGGGACCCCCTTGCTCAGTAGGGTCAGGAGAGCAGGACTCGTTGTAGGACCTGGAAGCAGGACAGAGTAGATTGGGGGAACCCTTTGGCCTGTACTTCAGGCCACTCGGAGACCACCCTCCCAGACCGCCCTTATCAGGGGCAGGAGAGCCCACTTCCCAGGGCCTGCCTGAGACAGAAGCCAAGGGGCAAAGGGATGGTGGAAAGCAGTGGGCACGAAGCCATGCCTGGGGGGCAGGCGCGCCAATGTCAGAGAAGAGCAGTGACCCAGGGTCTCCGTCTGGCTCGCAGCAGCCCCGGCCCAAGAGGGAAGAGAGATGAAGGGAGCTTTAGAGTGAAGCTGTCTGCAGAGTACGCCATACCAGTTCTCCACAGGGCACACGTGGCGGTTCATCACGGCCATGGCATACCTGTGGGAACAGAACTGTCACCCCATGACCCCAGCCCAGCCCAGCCTTCCCCCACCGACTATTCTCTTCTCCCTGGATTCTGGCCCCGTTCATAGCCATTGCCCCTGCTAGGGACTCAAGTTGGGATGCACACCAGAACCCACAGCAACGGCCACAAACTAGAGGACCTCTGGAAGTTGCCCTGGCTAAAAGTATGCCTGTCAGGGCCACCTTGCTGGACAGCAGTGGTGCCAGCCTGTCCCAAGGGACTTGTCCAGGCATCAGGCCAGGGTTTGGAGACAGCCACAGTGACCGAGGGTATTGCCCTGGGGCCTGCAACAGGACAAGGGGCTTTGTGTGTGCTATCAAGCTCCTGTTGGGTCCTGGCTGGGCCCTGTCCCTCTTCAGCCTGGGCCCATTTTATCCTCCCCCCCCCCCCCCCTTCTACTCACACAGTCCATAGGCCAGTGATGGAGAATGCTGATAAGCTGACGGGAAGGAGGATCCAGGCGGTCATGAGGGAGGGGAGCCAGGGTGGTAGTGGTGTGGGAGGGATGACAAGAGGTAGGTGGGGAAGAGGGGGCAGGCCCAGCTACCTTAAGATACTTCGCCAAAACCATCAACTGCCCCGGCCTGGTGGAGAGAGATGGGTCAAAGTCCAGGGTCCAGTGAGTGGTGAAAGCCGTGGGGGTAAGGGGGGGGGGGGTGTGGGTGGGAAAAGGAAGGTAGTCATCACCTGATTCGGAGCTCCCGCCAGGACTCGGAGTGCCCACCCTGAGCTCAGCCCACGCCAGAACGTGGCCACCCTCTGACAGCCACCGGGGGCCCCCGCGTCCCACCCCAAAGTCACCGGTACTCGGGGGCTGAGGTGGCGCCGTAACATCTGGACAGGGAGTCGCCCGCCCTCGCCTGAAGGAGCGGGGCTGGCAGCCAAGCAGCAGTGAGGACGGTCAAGGGGCCAAGCCCCAGGCAAGCCCGGTGTGGGTCCAGGCCCCGTAGAAGGGCGGCCACATGCCGGCAACCCGCGACCACTGCGCCCCGCAGAAGCGCGCGCTCGTGCGGGAAGCCCAGCCCGGCCCCCGCCCGCGTGGGCGCCCGGAGCCCGCGGCAGGCAAGTCCCCGGACCCGGGGCACGAGCCTTCTCTGGTGATCCCTGGAGGGTCCTGGGAAGTAGGGGCCAGTACGCACCTCCCCGGAGAGCCCTGCGGCCGCCGCGCACCGTCCAGCCCGCGTGGCGCCGTCCCCGGCTGCGG